AGGAAATCATTTTGTTCTACATAAAAAATATATCACAGAAAGAGATGTATAGGTAGTCGTTAATCAATATAAAACTGTTATTTGACTAGTATATAAAATAATGTTAAAATATAGAAAAGTAAATGAGCAAAAGTTATCTACGACCGTGAATTATCGAATTAATATTATCATGGTTGGTTAGGTACACGAATTTTGTCAATTGTAATACATAGGGATACAATGCAATTATATAAAAATACTTGATTACTATCCATAATAAATATTATACGTATAAATAGACGACCACGTTAACACGAAGATATTAGGTACTTCTACCAACTACATAGGTAGTGACAGACCAACATTAAATGATCCAGTTAAAGTGATCGAAGAAACCCTTCACAGCTCACATATAGTATATGTCTATGTTATAATTATGCATTTTAGCCACCTAACATTTAATCCCTCTTATAAAAATAGACAATAATCCAGCCTTTAGCTTCAAACCACATCATTTACTTGTACAAATATTTCATATCAAAACTTGCCAATACTTCGCCCCCTATCATACAAATGAGTTTATTATTATTAACATATTTATTTTGTGATTTTTGACAAAATTATTTATACTAAGCTATGCTGAGCAAAATATGTTAGATGAACTGAAAAAGCTGTTACCTTGTTATATTCTTTAAGTAAATTTTAATAACAATAGTTCACTTTAAACATTTCATAATGACATTTAATTGATATTGGATTAAAATTTCACACATTATTAGCTGCCAGAACTTTTAATAACTCAGAATGGAGATAAAACTAACCAAGAGGCGTGCGTATTATAAGTTTGTCAAAAAACACGTTGCTAAAATTAATTAATACCTAAGCTATTCGTTAATAAGTTATAAATTGAAAGATATTTTATTAATCGATATAAATACTTATTAAGTTAAGGAAAAGCAATGCTCTTACTTCTGATTTTCATTACCATTTGGATTTACTAAAATGTTAAGTACTCTAAGATATGAATCCGTACTTTTATCGTTACAGAATGTATTTTTGGTTTAAATTAGAATGTATTTGTTGGAATAATAGTGACCTTTAATGCAAGCCGTCCGATAGACGTGTACCAGAGAGAGCGCAGGCAAGAAACGTTAAATGAAACTCCATTATATAATTAATAATAATTTTACTATTACAATAAGCACCAAACCAGGTTTGGAATGTTCAGTATTGCACCACATGTGAACAAAATCCAATTAAAACAGTCACAATGTAAAAAACAACAATAGATAAGGATTGGGGTAGTAAAAAAATAATTCCAAATAATTAATATATTTCCATAATAAATAAATTCGGTTACCACAACACAATAAAGGTCACCATTGAGTCCAATTACGGAAGCGAATCTAAAATACAGGTGAGCAAAAACAATTAATAAAAAACAATGTTTTACAACGAACATAATTAGCCATATACTGTTGAATGTTTTGTACAAATAGTGACTTCATTGTGCATAAAACCATCTGTCATTGCACCGCCAGTCTTCCGGGAAGATCTCGCCGAGACTCCCATAATCTCAGATGAACAAAACCTTTCACTAGGATTATTTTTTTATTTCGTGTCGTTTTCCAAATAAATGTTGCGTAACACGATCCTCTTTGGGCAATCTCAATAGTAAGTATCAAAAAAGTAAGTAGACAGAATGAATCGTGGAATGAATTTCATTTCAAAATCGACTTTATTCGGTAAGCATTGTAGTTTAAAATTGTATTGCCATTAAAAGACTTTCTTGGACATTCTGTCAAACAGGAAACATCTTTATTTTGACAATAAAGACTGTTCTGTTTGCTTTTCGCTGCTATTTGACAGTTCACACCGGTCCACAGACGTTAAAAAATCAATAAATGTGGCAATTAATTCCATTTAAGTAGTTTATTTCGATTTATTATTTGTTTTTGCCCCCAAAAGAGTCGTGTTACCAACACTCACATAAAAGACTATCTAAATAAATACTTATTTTAATATCATAAAACAAATGTTACAAATAAACGCTGCGTTTTAATTAGAAAATTAAACTCGCATTTAGTTTCGATAGAAATGGAAATGTATGATAGTTGTTCCTATACCTAGGGCTGAGACATTTGGGTATTTCGATTTTATTTAATAATATAGGCAGCAAAGATTGCAACACTTTTTTCTTTAGATTCAATAACTAATGGAGATTCGAAGTGCATCAAAGTATGAATCTGTAATGTCATAGCAAATTCAACCTTGGATCTTAACAAATAATGGACATTTTTCCTTATGAGACAAAAAAATCATATCAGGAAATCCGTGCGTTATTTGTTATGAACATAAGGGTGAATTTGCTCTGTGACGTATCAAGTTTAAGTTTCGATGCGCTACGACTCTGATATAGTTTGAACTGACTTTAAACCTTATTTTAAGTGCTTTAAGCTTGTGTTTTAGCAAAGCAAAAATGCGTTGGAATATCGGAAGTCTGTGCATTTTACCTACAACATAAAAGCGATATTTAAGTTGGAATGACACAAAACCTACTTGAAAAACTGCAAGCTATAATGCATAACTCTAATATTTATACAAATACTGAAGTTCCTAACCGTTTTTATTAACTTTACTTTATTAAAAAAATTTTTTTAGTCTCATGTAATGCGGGTACCACTCTCGCGTGAGTGGACAAGTGTCCGACATACATTGCAGTCTTATAATGCGAGAAGGACTACAGTTATGTTAGAATAACGACAATGTATCTCGACCTCATCTCGACTCGCGCGAGTGTTGTGCCGGCGTAATAGAGAGCGAGTCATTTAGACTCCACATTAGTACCGATTAATTTATAATTTATTGTCGGGAACCTCAATAACACTATGCCCGACTCGAGTAATGGGTTATTCAAAGGAGTCTCACTTTACAAAGATAATCGCTACGTTCACCAAAATGTTGATTTAACAAAAACCTAGTTTAGATATTAGCTCAACATTTCCGATTAACTTCATAAAGACTAATTTCTAGACTAGATTCATTTTAAATCAAGATTTAAGTGAACAGTTGTTCTAGGTACCAAATCTCAAACCCAAAATGTCCCGAGCCCTTTCGAGTTAATTTTACAATATTATTAATTATTATAAAATCTAAATTGTCGTTACATAATACAATCACTAATCGCCATGGTTGGTTATCGTGGCGATTCTATGCCGTGGCATGTCGACAGAGAGTTGCATACTGTGAGAATAATACTTGATAATTTTTGATGAATATATTGAAATATTTTATCGGTCTGTCTAATTTGAAAAGATAAAAATGAAATACATTGTAACTGAAATTATAATCGCTTATAATAACATGACAATAAACTCAATTACTTAAGTCGAATTGATTTTGCGCAACTTTGCGCAAACTGAAAATTTGTTAGCGCAAAATAATACACAGAGCTTGAAATCACCAATAGACGTTAAAATATATTGAAAATTCAAGTACACAAAAGACAGACTTCATAACAATTCATTTTGTTAACACATTTAATACTTTCTTTTACATGAAAATGTAAATTGGCAACATTAATCGCAGTGTAAAACTCTCGCCGACATTTACAACGTTTTTTGAAAGACTGACACATTACAGCTGCCTTAATAAATTATCAGCTACTTATATTCATCTATCTTTGTGTTTATAACACGAAAACTATACGGGTTCGTTGTATCTACGATTATCTAGAGATTCGCTTGATTATGGGGCGGTAAGGTAAGTACTTTGTAAATGTGAATTGAGCCAGCAAAGCAGTTAGAAAATCTCCTAAGGCAACACCAGTCAGTATCCTATACTTTGCGCAAGTATCTGATAATTTAACGACGAGAATATAGCATTTGAAATGTACATTATACACATTCGGTTAAATATCTGATATTTGCAAACCGTAACTGACGCTGCCTAAAGGACATGTCAAAAATGAGACTTATCACTATTTATTATGCGTTTGCAAGGAGAGATACGTTGGAATATTAGAGGCAATCTTTCAAAAATCCGTGTGACCACGTGTTAAGTATAAACCGAATACGTATGTCGCCGATGTAAGCCACGTGGAATCTCTTGTGTAACGTTAGCGCTTACCGAGTGGCCGACGACTGCAGTACAAGCCAGCGTGGAGGAGATATCGGCGGCGTCGGCGCCAATACGGACCTTAAGCCCGCCGCACTACGTCTACCTGGAAATGTATAAAAATAGGGTTATATTGCGTTGCCATGACTTTAATTTTCTGCACAAAAAATGCATTTAAAGTTGAGAGTAAAGCAGAGGACATGTATATTAGACTATTATTGATTGAAATGACTGCACGGTTGGTGCGGTGGCTGGGCAACCGGCTGCGGTGCAACGTGTCGCGGGTTCGATTCCTGTACGGAACAACACTTTGTGTGATCCACAAATTGTTGTTTCGGGTCTGGGTGTCATGTGTATATGAACTTGTATGTTAGTAAACGCACCCACGACACCGGAGAAAAGTCTAGTGTAGGGCAAAGTTTTAAAAAAAAAATATTACTCAGTTATCTTTACTAAAGCTGAGGCGAGACTAGTGAAGTAACATTCTGTTGGTTGTTTATAAAACATATTGGCTTAGCTCGTTACATCTCCGCTTTGATGGAGTCTAGGTCTAAGCTGTATTTACGGATTCGCGGCGCTTAAGGCTTTCGCCGTATATTGCAGCCGGACGCGTCATCACTCATGCAAATACAAACAAATGAGCAATATACGACGGACGCCCGACGCGTATAAATAAGGCCTTTTTTAAGGGGGGAAAACCATTGAATGGCTGCTCCCGCCTGGGTGAGGCGGGAGGGAGTGTCAAGACTCTTACTGACTAAAAACCACCCCGCTCCTTCTCCTGCACGTCGAGCCGGAGCCCCGGTTATCCGTTAGGTTCTCCTTAGTATCACTTGATTAAAATAGTTCTGTAGTGGATGTCGTGTCGTGTAGCAGTGTCCAAGGCGTCTCACCGCGAGACTGCGCTAGCAGTCGGACGAGGAGTTGAGGTCGATGGACGGCGGCGGCGCGGCGGGGCGCGGCTTGGCGCGCGTGAGGCGGTCGAGCTCGGCGGCCGCGTCCGAGCGCGCCGCGGCCGCCGCGGGGGACGCGTCGCCGCGCCCCGCCGGGGACCCTGTCTTCTTGTACAGCAGCGAGTTGAAGAAGTTCGCCAGCACGCCCTCGTTGCCCGGCGTGCCTGGACCCATGCCGATCTTTGCGCCGTCCAACTGTGAAGGAAAGAGGTTAGGTAAGTAACAGGTGATACATACTTATAAATGCGAAAGAAGGTGTATCTGTTTGTCTCATCTTCAACGCTGATTGTGTACAAGAAACCTGATACAATCGGCCGTATTTGCGGTTTTATTGAGAGACTGACTATCAGTGCAATGTTAAAAATTGTGGCAAAAAAAAATCTGTTGAAACAATGCTAATCTATACTAATATTATAAAGCTGAAGAGTTTGTTTTTTTTTTGTTTGATTGTTTGTTCGTTTGAACGCGCTAAACTTCGGAACTACAAGTCTGATTTGAATAATTCTTTTTGTGTTAGATAGCGCATTTATCGAGGATGACGTTACGCTACGACCAATAGGAGCTGAGCAGAGCGTGTGAAACCGCGCGGAAGTAGCTAGTATGAATATAAACAAGAATAACTTAATGTTGAAAATGTCATGGTCGATTTTGCGATTGCGCACCACAACACAACACAACCGCTGGACATGCGACCCGGCAATTTCGCGGTTAGCCGTTTTACGGCAGAAGTCTTTGTTCAACAGTTTTCAGACATAATTCAGCTAAAGATGACCAAAATAATAGTAATAGCGTAGAAGCAGCGACCTGCGCGGCGGAGCGCTGCGTGGCGCGGAGCGGGGAGTCGGCGCGCGGGGCGGGCGCGCCGGCCTGCAGCGCGGCCAGCTGGCGCTGCAGGAACGCCTGCTCGTCCTCCGCCTGGACCTCGGCCTCGCGATTCGCCCCGCTCTGGAAAAATACATTATTTATATTTACTAAAAATTACTTTTACACGATAAAAACTCTATAATAATGATAATATAAATAAATATGTTTAACGGCTTACTCGCATAACTGTTTTACGAGGTAACTCAACCAATTTCAAGCAACTCTAGGGCTCATATTCATGAGTTCGAAATCTGTTACGTGAAGATAAGACTATATACAAATAATAATTATTATTACTGTATTAATTACTATGTTTACGGATTACTGACGTAACTGTTTGACGAAGAACTCGACCAGCGCGACAGTCGCAGCGTCGCGGGTCGCGGTATGCTGGTAATATGAGCCTCTAGCATGGCTTGTAACTAGTCGAGTTCCTCGTCAAACATTTACGTGAGTAATCCGTAAACATAATTAATTTAGTATGTCTCACAAAAGTTTTAATATAAACATAGCAAGTTATTGTATTATTATTTGACAATAAGGTAGTTTCCTAAATTTTATTTTAATGTCCGTCTGATACATTAATTTAAAACATTAGACACGTATTTTTTCTTTTCTCACAAAATTAAATACTTTCGACGATATATTAATTTGAAATATCGTGTGACGTAACAGCGTGTCACATTTTGTAGCACGTTATGACGTAACGACCTCCCACTCCTAAACTTAGCGCCATTTTATCTAAGTATAGCAACTTTATAGGAGAAAATAAAAAAATACGTGTCTAATATTTTTTCATTATCTAACTGACGGACTAATTAGATTTTTAATTTTGATACCCTGGAAACTACCCAAGTGAAATAATTTAAAAAACTTACTTTCCGTATAACAGGCTGCACGATGATGTCTCTGTAGTAGTCGTCTGGCTTACAAGACTGCATGTTCTCGTATAATATACTAATTTTCTTCATGCTGTCCCAGCCAGCCGGTCTGTAAAAAAATTCAATTAGTTTGTTAAAAAGATATCAATGTATTTATTTTCTGAAGTCATTGTTGTAAAACTAAAATTACTTACCGGTTCTTAAGATAACATAACGTAACATCACGACTTTTATCCCCGAAAGGGTAGGCAGATGTGTACATTATGCCACTGTACAATGTAACACCCACATTTCACTTTTTTAGATAATACTAGCTTCTGCCCGCGACTTCGTACGCGCAATCCCGTTCTTTCCCGTTCCCGTTCGTGATTTTCGGTAAAAAGTAAAAAAAAAATTCGATGAAAAAGTATCCTATGTCCGTCTCCTGGTTCTAATCTACCTCCCCACCAATTGTCATCCAAATCGATGTAGCCGTTCGTTCGTTCGTTGTATAAAGTTATAAGTAGTGTAACTAACACAACTTTCTTTTATATATATAGATTACTGGACTACTCACATCAAAACGGCATCCTTTTCCACGATAAGAGCAGGTGTCCTAAAAGGCAACCCATATATCCTATGAGTAAGGTATTTGTATAGCAGGTCGCAGTTCTTGTCCTCCTTGGCGCTGGTATAGAACAGTGCAGCTCCGTACTGTAGACAGAACCTTCGGATCCATTGCTGCATGAAGTCAAAATTCTCGTCGCGATAATCGTGTTCTTTCTCTAGAGTGCTCATGTAGTCAGTCTATGGAAGTTAGGGAGGAGGGTTTTAGTGGAAAACTTTAAGGAATTCTGAATTCACAAACCTGTACTGTTTTAGAAACAAAACATGGCCGAATTTAGATACTTCGGTCTAATGCAAACTATTGAATTGAAACATTGGGTGAGGTTACGGGAGGGCTTATCACCGGGGGGTGAAAATTATCCAATCCCTAAAAGACCGGCAATGCACTTATAAGTCTTCTGTTGTGCAGGTTGTCCGTGTCCGGCGTGAATTGCTTACCATCTGACCAGACCAGGTGACCCGTCTGCTGGGTGCCACAGGGTTAGCCCAGTAATAATTGTGGGAGAGCCAAGTAAGTGTGGGAGAGTCATGCTTCGGCACCAATAGGCAAGCTCGACTGGAGTGATACCACGGCCTCATAAAAAACAGACGTGACACAACGCTTGCGTTGTGTGAGTGAGGTTACCGGAGACCCAATTAAGCCCCCCCCTTCTCTAATCGCACCAATCCCTGAATCCCCAACAATCCTCACATTCCTTATCCCCAAAAGGCCGGTAACGCACTTGTAACGCCTCTGGTGTAATGGGCAGTCCCGATTGCTTACCATCAGGTGATCCATCGGCTCGTTTACCGACTAATCTCATAAAAAATAACTTAGTAACTAAATAAATAACTTGCCTTAGTTGCCACAACTACAATATCAAGACCTAGATTAGTAGTAAGTACTCCTTCTGGTAGGGGGCTGTCGTCATCGTCCCCATTTTCGAAGTCGTCCGATAGGTTTCTGGAGGACCTCTTCATGGGGGACGAGGCTGTGGGCTCCAGCTCGTCTCCTGGCTCCGTATACCTCTGCCATTTCTGTACTTGTTGCTTTTTACTTTGTAACCTTTGTTCTGTAACAAGAAAGACGAAGGTTAATGTAACAAAACATTTTGTTTTTTTATCGGCTATAGATAGGTGTTTGGCCGCTATCTCGTCTGATGACGATGCTATTCACACGAGACTTGAAGGTACCCAGGTTGTACCCTTCCGGAAACACAGACTCAGGCAAAGCGTTCCATTTCTTTGCTGTGCGCCCAAAAAACTTGAAGCGAAACGTTTCGTTCAGGTCGGTGGACTATCTACCATATAGTGGTGACGTTATTCTGTTTGGTAGTAGAATGATGAAGTGGACTGGGAGAAACATAAGTTGTGCGATTTCCCCACATTCTCGATGTCAATTAATCTCAAATTATATTTTTACAGATTCTGGACCAATAAAGTTACCAGCGGTATCAAGATGTCATCTATCAGATGAATTGCAAACTGTGTAAGAAAACCTGGCTATCAGGTTAAAAAGAGCAGTCATTACCCTTTACTAGCGACATCTGACTTGCACAAATATGGATAACACCATTATAAAAATATAATGCATGCATATAAAAAAGATTTTGTTACATTACATTATATTCTACCTGACTACATTACATTATTTCAAACTGACTCAACCGCCTATACAGTAAGACATAAGACTCACAATTAAAAAACACACTTATTACCATATCCATAAAAATGCACCTGAACAAACAAATCATCTCACAGACGATTCATACACTTACTGATCTATTTACCCAGTTAGTCCTGTTATTTGGTGTGGTAGACAAAATTGATTCGGTAGAGAGTGCAGTAACCATTGGTTGACTACTGAGCTGACCAATGGTTTAAAAACCATAAACTTTGTATAACAACAACAATAGCTACTGTTTCTTTAAAGGGGGAAATCATCGAATGACATCTCCCGCTCGGGTGAGGCGGGAAGGAGTGTCAGACTCTTACTGACTAAAACCACCCCGTTCCTATTCCATAACCTACAAGTTCTCCGCGGCTCCGTAAACAATAGCTACTGTATCTGTACTAATTCGATCTTTATTCCCTTACCTGTATATCAAATAACTGGGTTGATTGTACATGTAGTGTATGTATATTCGATCTAGCTAATGATACAGCAATTCCGAAGACTTAACAATTAAGATTCCGTATAGCAAAAAACTGTGGAAAATTAATTCAATACAAACACATCGCGCAGTTATCGACTAAACACTTTGAGTGGTATTTCGTGCAATTAACATTACATATTGTATGTGTATATGCTGGTAATAATATTAGAGAAACCGGACATTTTTATTGTATTTTAGGAAGTGTATTTGTGATTTTTCCTTTATTTGAGAATGCACGCATTTTTCTTAGTTTATGGCACATTAAGTAGTGTCTCTATTTATAACAGATCTGTTCCTCGACTGAAAGAAAGGAAATATTCGTTTTTGGTTGAAATATTCGCGTTCAGGAAGATTATTTAGCACCATGCTAGTCTTAACAGCAATGGCGTAACTATACCGTTCGGGGCCCGTGGCAAATATATCGGATGGGCCCCCGTTTCCAATAAAACAGGGAAGTTCCAATGAAAACCTCTATACGGGGCCCCTTCTAGCTGGAGACCCGTGGCGTTTTGCCAACTTGCCACCCTATAGTTTTGCCACTGCTTAGCAGTAGAAATAGAACCACAATTCAATGTTTATAATGCAATAAGATAGACAGCATTCCAGCTATTGTAAGTAGTCAATAATTTTGACTGCATGACGTCATGATGTCAACTTCACACAGCTCACCCGATTGGCTGCGGTCTATAGTACCTATGTGAAAACTATAGGAACTACTTAAAGTAGGTGTAATAAGATTTCTAGAAATAAATTAAAGATTTCAAAAGAATCTACAACTAGAGTTTATTGTGAAAGAAAGATTTCAGCTAAAACAATGCTCCTGAAATAATAATCAAGAAGTTTTACACGAAGATGCGCAGCACGCACTGCGCTAATTGTGCCATTACTCATAATATGTAATAGAGAGCTGGCTTACTGTCATGAAGTCGAGCTGAAAATCCAGTCTAGATTCAAAACTCCGAAATCGTACCAGATAACTAGGAAAATAAATATTCTTGTAGACTCTTCCCTTTTTAGTCTTACTCATTAGATAAAAATTCGACTTAATATGCCCTAATAATAATTAAGAGTCTTTAACGAGGGTCGTCGGGCGGCCCGGTTTACGAAGCCCGCTTCTCATGCTTCCTGATGAACCTACAGCAAACAAACAACAAACGTAGGTTTCAGGTAGGTAGGTAGGTAGGTAGGTACTCGGAAAAAGTGACTTAGGTTCTTGCTGTTACTACCAACATGTGACGATTATTGCTTGCAAACTTGACGATTAATGCTCAAACCTTCTCCGTGTGAGAAGAGGCCTTTGGTCAGCAATGACCACTTTAGGCTGTTGATGTTGATGCCCTAGTAATTTTAAAAAAGATGCGTTTCAATACCCACCACCATACGGTGATGCATATTTGAAAGGAGGTTGTCTGAAAGTAAATGGTCCTATTAAACTACAGAGTTAGATCAATTGCGTATAAGCAAAACTTTGTGAATCATCTCCTAAAGCGTTCTTATCATAATAATATATTAACACAGGGTCTGCCCACGTGCCTAGGACTAGTCACAAAATTCATAGAGGTTACAAGTATTTTCCAAGGTCACAATGCAATAAAAGTCTATCCATAGCTAAACTGTATGACGTTCATTCGTTTATTGCTTGCGAAGGATGACGTCACTGTCATAAAGAGGGGTGAATATTGCGTGCACCGGGCCAAAACAACCGGAGACGCAGACAGAAGGGGCGCGACAGTATACGTAGGTAGTATGTAAGTACCTAAGTAATTTGGAAGCGATCAGGGCCAACTAAGACGCGGTCGATTTTTGAAGACACTTTGGTGAAGTCTGTTGTTTTTTTATGGTATGGGGCTGGGAAACAAGCCTACTGATTACCTGGTGGTAGGTAATCGATGTCGTCTAAAGACTAGACAGTTTTTTTAAAGGGGAAAATCATCGAATGACTGCTCCCGCCGGGGCGAGGCGGGAGGGAGTGTCAGACTTACTGACTAAAAACCACCCTGTTCCTTCTCCTGCTGTCGGAGCCCCGGTTACCCGTTAGGTTCTCCGCGATTCCGAAGACTAGACAGGTTAGGGTTTGGAAAATAGGGAGGTTATACCTTCGATAACATCACACACAATGAAAAAACGCAAGCGTTATTTCACCCCGGTTGTCTGTTAATTATTAAGTACTAAGAACTGTATTTTTTTGTACGATCATAACCTCGCATAAGATTCATCAATTTTTTTTGCGTTGTTTTGATTTATACTTTTTTAGTTCATAGTTCTATTACTAGTTAGATAAGTGTCAAGTTTCATTTATGGAAATGGAATTGTCTTCATATAAACAAAGACAAATAAAATAACACCTAATTAAATATGGTTTTTTGTCATACATTGTTAGGCTAAGGTTCATAGGAAAGAAACATATATAAGCAAATCGAGAAAGTTGATGAATAGCATCCGAGCGGAAACGGGGCGGGTCGCTAGTGCATGTGCAAAACTTTCAAATACACACAACAGAATTATCCATCAGTTCGTAAAACTATACATAATGTAACACGTACATGCAAAAATATTTATCAAAGACATTAATTGTACCTACTTAATAAATAATGCGTAATATGTATTGGCATCTTAAGATCAACGACTTGTGACAAATTAATCGGTGTCTATTAATATATTATTTAGTAATAACGATCACGGATAAACATAATGCTAGACGCGACCTTTGTCCGTATTTCACGATGATAGACTTAAGTCGTATTGAGAAAAGACAATATACTTTATTTAGTTAGGAGAAAGGTCTGAATTAGGTTTTGTTTTTTTTTCTATGGGTGGTGTATACCTTTCGTTTGAACATTAAACAATTTGGTCTTAAACTGTCAAACACCAAGCGGTCACCGGTGACCGCAACCTATTGTTCTTTAATTGTGTCTATAAATACGGTACTCGACGAGTTAAACTAAATGATCGAATTGAGGATTCATGTGTCTCTTATGATTTTTATAGAAGTTAAAAGCCGTTTGTTTTGTTTACCCACGATATTATAATGGTCTATTGATATTATCACTACATAGTATAAAACAAAGTCGCTATCCGCTGTCTGTCTGTCCCTATGTATGCTTAGATCTTTATAACTACGCAACGGATTTTGATGCGGTTTTTTTCAATAGATAGAGTGATTCTTAAACTGTCAAACACCAAGCGGTCACCGGTGACCGCAACCTATTGTTCTATAATTGTGTCTATAATGACGGTACTCGACGAGTTAAGGAAGGTTAATATGTATAATACATGCACTTGTGCGAAGCCGGGGCGGGTCGCTAGTAGTTTAATAAATCATTGTCAAACGCCGTTAAAGAATTGCTATTATTTTATAAGGTCCGTCAAACTGAAGATGTTTTTCAATATATCCTTTTGCAGACCCTATTCGAACTCTTACACGCTTTTACTACTATTTGAAATTAATTACAATCTATATGTATGTACAAATAAAAATGAATTCCCGTTCATTAGTCTCGCTAAAACTGGAGAACGAAGTCGTTCGTGTTCGTAGAAGTCCAGGGAAGGTTTAAAAGGTGAGTTAAAAGTTTCAGGCGGTAGACAGGTACTTTTGGATCTATCAAAACTGAAAATTTAAGCCCAACAACCATCTCCACCACAGATGGGGCCTAACAAGGCTGATGCCGATACGGAGCCGCGGAAGACTTAACGGGTTGCCGGGGCTCCGGCTCGAAGTGCAGGAGTAGGAACGGGGTGGTTTTTAGTCATTAAGAGTCTGACACTCCCTCCCGCCTCACCCAGGCGGGAGAAGGCATCGGATGATTTTCCCCCTCCAAAAAAAAAGGTAGATGTCAGGTCCACTTATTTGTGGAAAATGTAGGTCCAGCCGGTTTCTATCGTGTTTTCATAAACCATAAGGGTTGAATAAATAATGA